CAACCTATAATGACAGGTCCTTACACCAGCTGGGCAAGTTAAATGAGTTGTGCTGCGTAGAGGCAGGCGGTAGAAGCAGGTCTTGAAGTCATTGGTGTAGAAAAGCATCGCCTTATCTCATTCACTCCGATAACAGAACTGTGGTCTGATGACAAGAACTGGCTGTTCATCCAGAATCCCGTTTCCAAATGCCGAAAGGGTTGCTTGGGACTCCTTGTTAAAAGACAATTGGTAAAAAGCATCTCCTGTTCAAAACAACTCTCGGACCGCATCATCTCTGTAGTTTTCAACGGCAACCCGAGACTCGTGGTTACAATAGTCTAAGCTCCAAAAGAGTCGGCTAACACTGACGATGAGTATGAATTCTACAACCCTCTCAACACCCATACATCCGCCAAGGTCAACTGTCACAATATTAATCTTGTTTTTGGAGATTTAAACGCTAGACTAGGCTAAGGCAATAACGAAAAATCTCCGAGAGGTCTGGGTCCTCACAACAAGCATTAACGGTGAAAGACTTTTTAATTTCTGCTTTGCAACTAACCTTCGACTTGATCAATCCACGGACTAACTCTGTCAGGAATTATAGAACGTACAATAGTGTAGAGCTCAACTCCGACCACCGCATCTTAACTGTGACTTTTAAAGTGAGTCTTAGAACTACAAAAGGTAAACTGTAAGTCGCAAATAGTACAATTGGAAGAGACTCGCGAATCCTGTGCTGACATCAGAATTTGTGCTAAAACTATCGAACAGCTTTTCCTCCACCCCAAATGATGAGCTAATCATCATCAGGTCCAGTCAGTTTTAAAGTATAACAAGAAGCACTGCAGAAGAGGTAGTTGGCTGGTGTGTTTCAAATAGCGTACTAAACATGGTCTCCAAAGAAACAGAAGACTTGCGGAAAGCTCGAAATGACACCAAAATCAAGCACCTGCTCCTTAACACAGCCGCCTCCAGGAAGAGATTGAAGGATCTGAACGGGTCAAAAAGAGGGACAAGAGTGACACAATTAGTCACCAAGAACTTCTCATTGAATGGAAGAAGTACCGTAGCACTCTTCTGAACAACACCACCGCTATTGATACTGCTAGACTACCGCCAGATGAATCGGTTCTCCCAATCAACACAGCCTAACCTACGTTAGACGAGATAAAAAAGGCGATCAAGTCTCTTAAGTTGAACAAGGCAGTTGGACTAGACTGCTCCATCACACCTGAAGTCCTGAAAATGGAGGGTGAAGCCATGTTTCCGTTTTTCACAGCTTCCGTTTCGAGGTATATTTAAAGAAGATACTCCGGGAACAGTGGATCACTAACCTTATTGTCCCCACCTTAAAGAAGGGGGACCTCTCCCTGATGAACAACTATCGTGGGATTAACCTTGTGTCTATCTGAGCTAAGGTCTACAATAAGATCTTACTAAATGAAATTCAAATCTTCGTAGATCCAATACCAGGGCGCAACCAAACCTTTTACAGGCGTAGGAGCAGCTGCACACAACAGATTCACACTCTCCGACGAATTATTGAAGGCCTACAGGCAAAACAGTTACCACTACAGTAGAAACCCGCGAGTAAGAACCTGAAAATTACGAAAATTACAGTTGTTACTCGCGGGTTTTTACTGTAGTGGCGAGGAGTCTATGTTTGCCACACTGCGCCATCATGTCATCCTATCACGATCGTTAGTGCAATCAGATTCCTGGGTGATAGTTCCAAAAACTGCTGTTTTAGTCGATGGCCGTTTGTCCGAGAGCTTCGAAGTAACCACCGGTGTCCTCAAAGGGAGCATGCTCGCCCCATTTCTCCTCATTGTTGTCTAAAAGTGAAAATAGCGGCCTGTTGACCCTTCCAAGAGGTCAACCAGCCATCAAGCACAGCTCGTAAATGACCTTGATAATGCGGACGAGATATTCCTTTAGAACCTCCCATCGAAGGAGTTAAGGTGCAACTGTCCCTCACCGTGGAACCAGGGGCCAGCATGGGTCTCCTTATCAACACCAGCAAAACAGAGTACATGGCCTTTAACTGTCCCGGGAACAAAAAGCTTAAGGTATTAGAACTGCTATAAAATAAAAAAATGATCATGCTTACAAAATCGCCTATTTCAAATGTACTCTTAACCTGAGCTCAAATTCCAAAAATGAAGCATTTTCGTTAAATATAAGCCGAGAAAACGAAGGCCGAAGTCGGTACCTAAGAGCACTTTTTTGGAATTAGTTATAGTCACATGGCTGAAATCCGACGCGATACTTTCCGTTGTTGACAGAAATGTTGCAATTTTCACAACCCGACACGCGACAACGTGCTATGAGTTTCAAGTAAGCCAGGGAAAATTATAGCAAAATTCGCTTACATTCTGCTTCCCCAAATGAAGGACGATTCTTTTGATATTTCTAAATCATTTCTATGGCTGTAAAAAGCCTTCTAAAGACACAGATATATGATTAGATATATGATAGTTAGATTGTTAGATATATGATACTTGCAAGGTCGATGAGAGATAAGGCCGCAATTTAATGATCTGTTATGCAAATTAGCACTCAGTGTAGCAGAGCCGTTTCCGTACTATGAAACATTCGGTATGCTGACTGAAACTCAGGATACAGTTAACAGGAAGACATGTGGTGGGATAATTGTTGAGCCACTACTTTTTCGGTCACGTTGGAGATAAATTTGAGGTTACTGACTACACGATAGTTCTTTTTTAGTTGACCTCACTAAAGCCTCTTTCCAGATGTCTGGGAACTGGCCAGTGTCTAGAGACAGGTTAACCATGCTAGAAACAGCTGGTAATAACTCGTCGATACATTCCTTAGCAATATCAGTGGGGATAGGATAACTGTGACAACACTTATTTTGGGAACTCTAGATTATTCTCTTGACATTTTCCGCTGGAACAAACTATCACATTTTTTATTTACAAGAAACTGACATATAAACGTGCGGTGATAGTTTTCCCATATTTAATTATTAATGTAATAGATTTTGTTACAGGAATTTGAGGAAGAACATGATCAAAAAGCTCGTACCAGGAGTATTTGCAGATCTCTCTTCGCTGCAGGCGTTGTAAGTATCACAGTCTATATTTCGATAAACGATAGATTTAAGCTATTACAGGGTGTCCCAAAAGTTCTTTCCTCTTATTACAGGCGACATAACTTTTGATCGAAACCATACTTCTGCATGAAATTTCTTAACGACGTTTATTGCTTTACTGAGTACATATATTCGAAAAGTCAATATCCGGCATGCCCTCCTTTGTTTGTTATCACGTTCCGAAGCCTTTGCGGCATGGAATGGGATAAGTCATGTAGCGTGGAGAGCGGGATTTTCTTCCAGGCTTGTTTGAGCCATCTTTTCAGATCCTTAATGGTTTTAGGAGTTGGGTCTTTATAGACAACTTCATCCATTATGCTTCAAAGATTCTCCACAGGGTTGATATCTGGGGAATTTGGGGGCCGGCATGTTTTCTCTATAAAATTTGGCAGGTTTTTTTTGCACCATGCCTGGGTGGCCTTGGCTGCGTGTGCTGGTGCCCCGTCTTGGACGAACGTCATGTGGCGATTGGAGATGAACAATTTTCGCTTGTCTGTTGCTTCTTTCACATTTTTACGGTGAAGTACAGGCTTCACTTCTTTCTCTAATATGTTGTTGATGTAGTAATCGGCAAAGTCTGTCCTTGGGGTAAAAAATGTATCCCAGTGAGACCGCGGCCTGTCATTCCGCCCCATATGATCCACTTTGAACTTTTTTTAACCTGGAGGAACTTGGCTTACCTGAGAACCCCAAACAATATAATTTTTTGGATTGGGCAGCTGAAACAAATATTTGGGACATTCGTCCGAAAAAAGAAAATCATCCCATTCTTCCACAGTGAGGTTTTTGTGCTGCTTAGCAAATTTCAGTCGAGCTGCACGCTGCTTGGCTGTGAGCAGAGGTTTCTTTTGCCTTCTCAGCGGTCTCCAACCTTCGCTTTTCATAAACCTCCAGATGGTGTTTTTATCCCCAACATGGCCTTTGCTTGCTAATCGTTGTGAAAGCTGTCTGGTCGAGTTTCCCCTTTTGTACTTAGCTTTGTTCAGAATTCTTTAGCTGCCTCATTAAGGATTTTCGGTCTTCCCGTTCTTTTCTTGTCTTCAAACCCGTCATTTCTTGACGACCATTTCACTACCCAACGTTCAGATTTTTTCAGCTTTTTGGAAAGAAATTTCTTTAACTGACAAACCAGTAGATCTAAGTATAGACGCTTGGGCTCTCACGTAGCTGAGCTTTTTAGCATTAACAGGGTGCATCTTTCATGATATTCACAAAACTGAGGAAAGATTGTGAGCAATTCAGGACACAAAATACGACAAACATTTGGCGGGAAAAATATAAACGCGCGTGCACACATTTGGGGGGGAAATGCAAAAATTGAATATTCCAATAAAAAGATGGCGCAAAAAATACATGATATTTTATAAGACTGAAATAAACAACTTTTGCGTAAATGATTTGTTTCACGAGTACAATTGTAAGTTACACTACAGACTTACAAAGTAGAGGAACGAACTTTTGGGACACCCTGTATTTGTCGTGTCTCCTCCAAAAGGATTAGTAGACCTTGAGTAAAAACGGGAAGGGCAGAAAAGTGCTGATATTTTTTAACCAAAAATACTTTTGCAACATGCTCATGGCGCACCACTGGTAAAAAAAAAGTGATATTCATGAAATTTGGGTAATCACGCGAAAGTACGTACATGTACCCGTGTTTTTGCGCAAATCCTAGACAATGCATTGAACCAATCTTCTCCACAATTTTAAAATAAGTCCTTTACTCGCGAATAGGCTATACAATGTCTTTTAAATTAGCGTGCTTAGGGGAGCTCTAATTGCTTACGAGCGATCGCAGGTCAGCTTACTACTAATTACATAACGAAAATTTTTAAAAATTTGTGGAATGAAAGGTCGTAAACATACGAAGTTAGTTGCTTTACTATCATCCGGTACATTCATTATGTGTGACGTCTTCTTAGTTATAATTAGCGCCAAAGAGTGCCAAACAGACGTACTTACAAAGGTAGGAACGATACTGCTGTGTAGTTTCGTTTTTAATGGAATTTCACATCACAGACATTTCATATTTGATTTCTTCTTCTGCACAATGTACCCATGTCCAGAAGATTTTTTAACAAAGGCGACATAAAGAAAGGGTCTTTCGATGACATTTTTACCCGTATAGGGGGAAAGCTGTTCTTGAACTCTTCATGGACGATGCAATAAAACTTGTCAATAGCGATGTTGATATCATTTTCAGCAAGGACAGGAGACCAATCAGTAGCCTTTAGTTTCTGTAACATTAAGCTCTTACGATGGTTTCGAGCGTGAATAAATTCAACGGCAGATCTCACTGGACGATGGGGAAAATGAATACACTGAAGTGATCAGATTTAGTCACACTCTTCGAAGTACACACTTTGCCAAAAATATTCGGTGTATTTGTCAGAAATACATCCAAAATACTGTCATCCCTTGTCGAAGTCTTGACAAGTTGCGAAAGGCCACTTTGTTGTGTAAGAGATTTCAAATCAAGTTTATTAATGTCACCAGCAACAATTAACCTCGCATTCCGTGAGGTGGCGAGAATGCTTTCGCAGGAATTTACTAAGAATTCAATAAAAGCAGTTTCACAATAATCAAAGGTCGGTGGATGGTAAACCGAGGCAACAAAATAATCTTTATTGGTCGTAGTACCCAAGGACAGGCCTCAAGCCTTATGAAGCCAAGTTTATTGCGATTAAAGATACACTTGCCCCTGACTTCCCTGGGCACTTCGCCGAGTCCTTTGTAGGTCAATTATCTACACCAATTCTTAAGCAAAAATCTCGGCGAGAAGAACGCTACCCTACTCGAACTGCTACGGAGAGACACGCATTGGAGCTGGGAAGCACTTCATCAAAATATCATTTGATCTCCTAAAGTTGGACACCTCCCAACCTCCACTCCTTAAGTTCTTTGATCCTGTAAAGCCATTACACTGTCAATGGAAGCTTCAAAGAATGGTTTTTGGTGTTGCATGCCTTTAGGATGGGTACCCTGTGGCATGTGCCAGAAGAGCCCTAACAGAAGCTGAAACTCGATATGCACGGATCGTCAAGGATATGCATGCAAGAGAATTCATGGTTTCATCTATGGTAGGGAAGCAATCATTGAAACTGATCACAAACCTCTTTCTGCAATCATAAACAAGCCTCTTCACAAGGCCCGTGCCGATCTTCGACGAATGCTCTTCTAGCTACAGAGCTCCGATTTGCCAAAGTGGAAAATACCATAATATTCTTTAAGCTATCGTCAGGGTGGTGTAAACCTGATTTTTGCGTTAAAGTAAAACCTTTTTTCCCTTGAGGTATGAGCTGATCGTGGATGATGGTATCATTCTGAAAGGCCTGATAGCTGTGGTACGCGATCCTTAAGCAAGCAGTATGTCCAGCAGCTACACAAGGGACATCCTGGAGCAGATGCTGCAATGGAAAGATCTCGGGATGTTATTTATGGCCCTCTATGTCATCGGACATTGACTCTGCGATAGCCTCTGTCAGCCGTGCAATAGTGCCAAACCACACAAGCGAAGAGAACCACTTGTTATTAATCCGGTGACAGATCTCCCTTGGTTATTTGTGAGTGCATGCATATTGGACTGAAATGAATTGCAGTACCTGAGTTTATCGAATCTTACTACAGTTGGTTTGAGATTGATATCCTTGGTGGTTCGTCCACCAAAATTGTAATTGAGAAGATGAAGCGTGCAAGTGCTTAATGACAATGGTCCACAATCTTTAAGCAGGGAATTTAAACGTTTTGCTAATGAATGGCTCTTTGAGCACGTAGCAAGCAGTCTGTATCATCCAATAGCCTGGCCGAGAATACTGTCAAACCTGCTTTGAAAGGGTTCGAAAAACGGTTCTGGTCCCTCAATTGGCCTCCTTAATCTACGCAATGTTCCTAAAGATCAAACACTAGGTTCTCCTGCCCGGCGACTCATGTCCAGTCGTTCCAGTTTCACTATTCCTGCGGCAAATCATCTGTTCACTCTTAAGGCAGCCAGTACTTTAAATGTCTCTTCAGCTTATGATAATCAGCATGTCAAGCATCTTGCTGTCTTTATTCACAACAGCTTGTGAGACTTCAAACTAAGAAAGGTTATGAGAAAAGTGGCGTTGTTAAGAAACCAGCTGCAGAGCAGGGATCCTACGTCGTGCAAACTGGAGTAAAGGAGGACCTCAGAAACCGGAAACATATTTTAGCTGTTCCAGAACCTGCTCCAGCTCAGTCTCCTGCTGCTGCTCCTTCACCTACTCTCTTAGCTACAGCTCTTCAACAGCCTCCAACCCTGTCAAATGCTCCTCACCAGAGTCCTACCATGTCAAATGAGGATATATTCCCTGAGTTTGCAATTCCCGCCAAGACACCATCAGAGCCTNGCTATTCCAGAAGGGTTTGGCCTTTGCGAGATGTACACGAGCACTCGAAATGCTGTTAACCCTTATACCCCCACAGTCATGTTTGCATCTGAAAATTACTGGCCCGTCAAAATAAAACATTATTCCAACGGCAAAAGAAAGTGGATTTATATACACGAAGACGAACCAAGTGTCCAAGCATTTGTTCAAGAAACGAAAGCAATCGAAAGAGCTAGAGGGAGAGGCACTTTCTAGGCTTTGCTCACCATATTGTAATCCTTTTTCTAAAGTTGTTGAGTTACTACAATAAATGTATTTTTGCTTTGTAAGATTTGAAGAAATAAAAGCTTTTAAGATGTTCACCCAAGCGCATTCACGCTATTCTTCTATTTTCGTTTGTTGTGAATAATTCGCTTCAGTGGTTCTCCTCAACCTTGCTTTTGTAGAAGTTGAAGTAAGAAAGAACCTTATGAGGAAATAGGTTTCTGTAAAGCCGTTGAAGGGGAAGACACCCAAGAGAGCGACAACGACGCTGAAAATGACAGTCAGGAAATAGAAAGTAGTAGCCCTGAAACGTCCACCACCTTTCACTCTAAAAGTCCCTGTGAACATTGCGAAAACTCTAATGTGTACTCCACATTGATCATGAAATGTCCTAAATGCTTTTGGCACGATAACTACAAGATTTGTCCTATATGCGATCACCAGATCCCCGAGGAGAGGAAATACATCAAAGAGGGCTTTCTTCGGTGTCACGATTGTGGATTAATTACACACAAAAACCCCAAGACGTTGGAAACCAATTTTTATTCACCTTCTAAAGAGGAGAACGAAGAGGAGGTCTAATTTCCATTCCTTCCAAATCGCTGTGTATTTGACTCTTTTTGTCATTGTTTTTAAATAAAGTTTTTTTGAAACGGTATCTCTCTTGTGTTTTTATTGCTAGCAATTATGAGTCGCGTGTTTTAATTGATCCTTGTTAAGTTATTTGTTTTATAATAATACGTCAAGATTCTCTCCCTTGGGTCTTTCCTGTAGAGCTAATTTGTATTTAACTTTGGGCTTGCGAACTCGCATAATTAACTGATTAACCGTGCGTGAAAATGACAAGACTTTCATTTCCTCGAGATAGAAAGGAGAAAACGTCAGACAAGTTTACAGCTCGATTCGACTTGCATGTTTGGAGTAATATTGGTGATAATAAGACTTTTTCCTTAGTAACGCGATTGCGAGAAGGAACTACTGAAGGGAAAGCGCGCTTTTATGTTAAACCATAGTTAATTGAGTGGAATGGTTATGAAACCCGTCAGACTCCTTTGTTATATGTTTTTGTGGACCTGAAAGTGCACAACGTTCAAAAGAATTCCTATCATTTTGATTGTATTGACCAATAAAAACGTTGCATTAGTTTATTCCGTAACAATTTGCCATCAGAAAACAAAGGATTGTGCACTTTCAGGGTGCTTCCAACATAAATTGCAACACTGTTGTTTTTATCATTGATGTTTGCCGCTTTTCATAACCAGTCTCCTCTAATAACTATGGTTAAACACATAATAGATTGTTTACTATCCAATCAGGGTTAAAAGAGCCAGGGCAAGTCTAGGCAAGCCTATTGTTCCTATTGTAGTAGAGTGTCGCTCATTAGTAAACCTATCCACTTCATTATATATGGAGGAAGACACTTAATTAGTATGGAGGAACCCATTTTTTTCCCTAGGTTATCACAATAGATGACGTCATTGACTAGACCCATATGCCTATTAATTAAGGGAATCCACTTTCTGCGAGGGAATCCAAAGGGAATCCACCAACGAGGCTTATCTTTGCTGAAGCCCCAATACTCTCCAGATCAAAGTTGACGAAAGAGACCAGGACATTCTAAGATATCTATGGAGGGATCTAAAGAGTGACGATCCACCGAGAATCTACAGGTAGCAGAGATTAGCATTTGGTGTTAATTAAAGTCCATTCCTCGGAATTACCACAGTTCAAAGTCACGCGATGAAATGCAGAGAAGAGTTTCCTAATGCATCAAGAGAAGCCCTGTCAAACATGTACGTGGACGATTGCATTACTGGTACTGATGACGTTGGAGTTACGGTGGAGTTGCAGCAGTCCTTACTCAAGATGATGGAACTAGTTCAGGTTGCTAAGAATTGTCAGTCGAGGAGTTAAAGGACGCCAATTTATACTGGTACGGAGAGCTGCAATGCCAGATGTTACTCATGGTCAAGAAGTATTGGGGGAAATAAAAGTAAAGAAATCACCTGGCGTTGACAGCATTACACCTAGACTACTTAAGGTCTCAGCCGAGATTATTGCTGCTCCACCCTCCGTCATATGCAACAATGCTATATCCCAGTGTAAATATCATTCAGAATGGAGGAAGATAATCCCTCTGACTAAGAGCTCTGATGGTGATATGAAAAAAGCATTATTTAGACAGGTGACAGTGCATTAAGTATGTATGTTATGTATGTATATGTACATATGTGTATGTACATTATGTATGTATGTATGTATGTATGTATGTAGGTGTACCAAGCACAGTGTGAAAGGTTGAAGGAAAATCCTCTTTTACCAAACACCAGTGTTATCTTCAAGTCGGATCCCTACTTTGATAAGAGAGATCGGTTGTTACAGGTAAGAGGAAGATTGCAGTACTTGGACCTACCTGAGGGTATGAAACATCCAATTATCTTACCGTATGGGGCATCCAGTGGGTAAAGAGATCATACAGAGTGTGCACAAGGACCTGCTTGGTGCTGGACCAGACAGACTCACCTTGCACTTGGAAGGTCAGCGTTTAGCTCTCCAGACATTGCAGACGAAGTTTCAGCAAACGGAGGTACAACGAGGCGGCGATAACTGTATCAGCCGAAGTTTCTTAACCATTTCTGACAGCGCAGGCGAGGAGAGTACCTACATCAGTTATCAGTCAGATATAAGTTGCTGTATGAACAGTCACTGCTCTCAAGATCAGAGACAGTGCTAATTTCTGAAGAGGTCAAGAGGTAAGGGGCCAATGAGACGAGTTGGTCCTGGAAAAGTTGGCCTTGTTTCTACTGTAACCCTTAAGCCACAGAAAGGACGTCTAAGGAGACCTGTTCAGAGGCTGCATCGTCTGGAAGCAAGTACTACTCAGTTTTTAAGTGATGAATTTGGCGACAGTGGCCCTAACGGTGGGGAGTCTGCCACTCAGGTACAGGTATATCCTCCCTTGACGTTTCTGGCACTAACTCTTCCGTTAGTTCAGGAAACTGTGGTTTGCGTTGTAGCTCTGTACACAAAGTTGAAGGTATGAACCTCTGGCATAGTTGTTGGTGATGTCGCTTCTTCTGATCTGGATCTCAAAATTCTTGGGACTGTCTGTTCACGCAATTGTTCCTGATATCAATTTTGGTCCTTTGCCAAAATTACGCGCAGAAAGTGCTTTGGTTCGATGTTAACGAGGGTCACACAAAAGAGCGAGGCTCTATAGAACTTTTACAGACATGACTATAAAAGTATGCTGAATCTATTAAATCAACCATAAACAGCTATAAATTTAAAATATAAAGAATGATTTATTTTCATGACTATATAGGTACACTGAATCTATTAGATTATCCATAGACAACTTTTAGTTTGATAATTTAATGTCTCCAAAAAGGCTAAAAATATCATGAGCATTATAAACGACATAAATGGTAACTCTAATAACAGCGTAGATGATATTTTACAATGTTACGTACAGCGCAACACTTACCGAAGACTAATTTCCAGCTATTGAAAATGTTGACGTCGTAAGACATAGCCAAGGCACAGTTATACTGCTGGCAGATAATTCCACAACAAAGTAAACGATTAAAATAACTTCGAATTTAGTGCGGTACTTAGGAATTGACAAATCTAAAACACAGCTGTTCCGCGTGGAGCGAGAGATGATTTTCTGCTGCACAGAATCATTAAGAGAGATATTGTACAGCTGTAGTGACCTAATCGGCTTCAGAAGTAGAAAAGAAGATCTTTGATTTCATGAACAAAAGAAATAGGTAAGAGGTTCACTTTCATAAGTCTCTCCTTGTAGCTTTTAGGTTGAATCCGTCTGACCTAAGTTGAGCATAATTTGGTAACTAGACTTTTAAGACTTTCAACATTAGAGATCTTTCCTATAGACTGTGGTGCCCAGATTTCACGAGCATAACTCAGTTGACAACTGAAAAAAAGGTAGGTGCAAAGTCGTTTGGTGTCAATGTTAATATCGCGACAGGTGGGTCTTCGAAGAAATACCAATGCCCTTTAGTACTTATAGATAACATTGTTTGTGTGCTGGTTCCACCGAAAGTCAGTAGTAACCGAAACTCCAAGATCTTCTTTCGACGTTACATGAAACACAGGATCACTTTCAATTTTATAATCGAATCGGAGAGAGGTTCCTTTGCGTGAAACACCTTTGGAGCTATTAAATTTCAGTTGCCCATCTTGTCTTGTACAGAAACACACTCATTGGTGCGTTTGTTTACTTTAAAGTACTTTGAGTCGTCTGCAAGGAGTGCAGAAGTGTTGCAAGTAATACTGGGAAGATCATTGATATAGACCAGAAAAAAAGAAAGATGCTAGAATACTTCCTTGAGGTACATCTGACGTAAAGGGAAGATTCTTTGAGGAAATGCCGTCAATGATGCGGCACTGCTGGCGTTCCTGGAGGCAATTGCTGAACCACGACAAGGGATTATTGCCAAGACAAACTGGGATAACTTAAGGATGACTTTGAGGCTTTTCAAAGGCTTTCACTAACACCTCTTTAGTGTTCGGCTCATGTTGGTCCATGTTCAATGCGCTTAGGTACATTTACCTATAAGTAATTCAGTTTTCGAATATGGTGAAATGGTTTTTCGCTTAAAGAAACTTAAGGATATCTTAGTTGAAT